TATTCTCCTTTGTCCAGGTGATGCATCACCTGGTCATAGAAGAAAATCAGGTTGGTCTGACAAGATCTACCCGCCACGAAGCCGTGTTGGCTATCTCTCAGAATATTACCCTCTGTTAGGATGTTGGTAATGGCTTCCTTAATGATTTTTTCCAGGATCTTTCCAGGGATTGAGATCTAGCTAACTGGCCTATAGTTCCCTAGATCTTCCCTTCTTCCTTGGTGCATTCCATCTTGGCTGGCTGATTTGTGGATGTCCAGTCTGTTAAGATGTTCCCTCACAAAATCAGTGGTAATGATAGTTGCAGGTTTGCCCTTCCCTTGGTGATACTGCCTCTTATCAGGCAGGGTGATCCCACTGGGCTGATGGAAGACCAATGTACAGTAGTCATTAAGAAGATTGGCTTTTTCCTAAGTGTCAGTTATCAGCTGCCCCACTTGGTTTAGTAAGGACCCAATGTTACCATTATTCTTTTTCTGACTTCCCACATATTTGAAGAAGGACTTTTTGGTGTCCTTAATTTGAGTGGCCAGTTCGAGCTTGATTTCAGACTTGGCTTTCCTAGTTTGCTCCCTACAGGTGCAGGCTAGTGATGAGTATTCCTCCTGAGTGAAGTTGCCCATCTTCCATCCTTTATAAGCTTCTTTTTTTAGGTGCAGGGAGGTCCTTGAGTTCCCTATTGAACCAAGGGGGTCATCCAGCCCTCTTGCTACTTTTTCCACAGTTTGCAATGGACTTCCCTTGTCAGGGATTGCATCCTTGAGGAGTGATCATTCATCATGGACATTGTTCCCTGCCAGATTGTGGTTTCGCAGGGCCTGAACAACTAGCCTCCTAAGCTTGTGGAAGCTGGCCTTTCTAAAGTCAAGGACTTCCATATAGCTGACTGAATTGCCAGCTTTGTCGTGAATAGAGAAATTGATCAACTCATGGTCACTGTCTTTCAGCTTCCCTTCAATTCTCAGGTCACTGACTAGATCACCACTTTGGCCAGTACCAGGTCCAGCAGCACTTTGTCCCTTGTTGGTCCATAGACTTCTTGAGACAAATAAAGCTCATCATTACTTGTGAGGAAGCATTGCAACCGATCAGATTTGGCTGAGTGCTCTTCCCATGAGATATATGCATAAAAGAGAATATTTAGAGTCTCTCCAGTTACAATATTATGCAAAATGATGACCTCAGTATGAAATTTTTGCTATTATATTTCCTTGCTAGCACCATTATATGGTTAAAACAGTAGAGGTGAATAAAAGATCTCCAATGAATAAATAACTGAATTTCTTAAATCTTTTAGTCCAATCAGAACTCTGACAACATAAGTGATGTTACTTGATGAATGTGAAATAGAAAGCCTAGAGACAGGGACAGGTTAATGCATAGCCAAACTAGGCACATCCCTAGGGCCTTAAGTGAAGAAGGGGCACAGGTGTGTTTATTTTACATATTATAATTATTGAGTGAAAAAAAGTAATAGAATATACAGTATTAAGTAGAGGCTCTCGAGTTTGTTTGCCTAGGACCCACTAAAGGGTTAATCGAGTCCTGCCTAGAGAAATATGTAGAAGGGCCTCTGTTAAGCTACATATCATGGTTTATATTTTTTTATGGATTAAAAATGATCAAACCCCCCAAAAAACAAAGAAAACACACCTCTGTATCTGAATCTGGATAATTAGCTATATTTTTCAATGTCAATAAAGTACCTACTCAGAATTAGTACAGTGATTTTGTGTAGAAGAGAGTAAATTGTTTTTCACATTGTTATCTTTCCCATAGGGAATACCTGGGAAAAATAATGTGTCCTATCATATAGGTATTATAACAACAGGATTCCAAAAGGCACTGTACCAAACCAGAAATTAACTGGACCAAACTCACAGAGTTGGATAAAAAAACTCTCGTATGTTTTCCCAAATTTAAATGACACAATTGACCCATTATTTTATGCAACTGAGTTCTTCAAACATATGGTCTGTAATTAACCTTCATATATATAATGTTTAATTTCTTTAAATGTTTCTTGGGGACACATCTACCACTGAACACAATGGCAAATGACCTCTTAAAGCTCTGCTACTTAGTGGAACATAATTGCATAATATATGCTCTCATTTTTCTTGTTTTTCCCTTGTTTGCTTAAGATCACCATGTGACAAGAGTTAAATTTTTGTAGTGCTTTAAATACATTGCCGAGGGATGGACCAAAGCCAAAATCTCTGTTCTGGACAGTCCAAAACATAGTCCTTAAAAACCCAAACCAAAATTGTATGTGCTGGCAAGTATTGTTGATCCCAAGGTTGAAATATGAACTTGAATTTATAGTTGCATTTTGCACCTGACTTCCATCTGCATAATGGACTGAACCCAAAGTCTGCAAAATGTAATGGATTGAAATCTCTATACATATCTGAATTTTGTGGCTTAAGTTAATCTCCTTTAGAGTTGCATTAAATAAACCTAACTGGAAGGTGTTAAGCAAATAAAAAATTACCATTGTGAAAATTATAAATACTCAAGTACAGGATAAAAAAAAAGAGTAAAATGCAAGATATAATTTTCCAATAGAAATGCAGAAGTGTTCTGATATTGTACAATTCCACATTAGACTTCAGCTCACTTCTGTTGCAGTTCAGCATTTTGCTCTTAAGCAACAGGGATTCTCAGCTGATGTCAATAGATATACATTCCCTGATTCCATCGACTCACAGTGATGTACACCTAGGGAGGATCTGACTTATTTCCTTAATAATAAGTCTTAATAACACCTTAGATAAGAAGAAATTAATTAATAATTAAAGCCTAATTTAATTTTCTATAATTTGCACTTCACTCATCTTAGACAATTAACATGAGCTAATTGGTAGGGCTGTGTGAAGCTTTGTTTGGTGATTCAATCTGGAGAAGATTTGGCCCAATTCAGTGACTGAATCTCTGATTCGGAGAGCTTTGATGATTTGGATAGTCCCTGCTGGCTGCAGCAGGGATCTGCAGCCGGACTCGGAGCTGGTAAGTAGGGAGTGGGGGAGCCGGGGATGGAGGAGTGGGAAGGGAACTGTGAGGGAACCCCTGCCAGGCCCCATCCCCTGCCTGCTCCCCCAGCACCCCCTGACTGCCTTCTGCTCCCCTAGTCCACCTGCCCCCATGGATGCCCCGCCTGCCCCAGCTCCCAGTGCTTTAAAAAAAAGCCCCGACTCACTGGGTGCTGCCAGGTGTGGGGGGAACCCCACTCCCCCCCCCACACTGCCCCACGCTGTGTGTGGGGCTCTGCATGAGCCCCCTGATCCCACTATCACTCCTTCAGCCCCCCCATGGCAGCCCCGCCCAGCCCAGCTCCTGCCCTTTAAGAAAAAATAAACCAAGAAAAACTCTGGGGCTCACCACTCCTGCAGCAGCCTTGCAGCTTCAGGGTGCTCATGCAGAGCCTCCCACATGGTTCAGGGCATCAGGGGGCAGCAGGAATCACCCCCTACTGGCAGGAATGGTGAATTCAGGGTTTTTCCCTTTTTTTCTTAAAGGGCTGGAGCCGCGGCAGGTGGAGCAGCCATGGGGGGGGGACTGGGGGAGCAGGGGAGGCCAGGCGGCTCATGCAGAGCCCCCCTGTGCAGTGTGGGACAGTGAGGGATAGCTGGGTTGGACAGGACAGCCATTGCTGGGCTGGGAGAGTGGGCAGGGGATGGGCCTGGCTGATCAGATTCAGCCAGATCAATTCGGGACAGTGATTTGAATCACCAAATCGAATCACCGTCTCCTAAATCGGATGAATCAGCTGAATCCAAATCCATAGTTAATGCTAGCCGCTTCACACAGGCATACTAATTGGTTTTATATTCATTGAATTTTCTTGGCAACTTCACTTTCTGATTCTCAAACACAATGGTGCTATTTGCAATAGCACACTATAGGGAGCTGTTTAAAGAAATCTTTATACTGAAATTCAGTTCTTGAATATTTCTCTGTCTGTATATCTTCTAGGTATCCCCTTGCTTATTTATTTTATAATTTATCTTTCATTTTGTCCAGACTAATTCAGAAGCCAAAAATTATCCTTACTTCTCATTTACCACAGCAGATGGACAAGTATGCTAGAAAGAAAAACACTGAGCTTTCTTATTTAGTTTTCTGTACTGGTCTTCAGAACTTGTTCCATCAGGAAACTGAATTAAGGCCAATACCTATAGTCAGTGATGATCCCCATGAAGTGGTATTGAAACACTGCAAATACTGCTTCTTCGTTGTCACTCCAGAAACATTCTAGTGTACTTCAACAATATAATCCCTCTAAAATGTTCATTTGTTTAGCTCATGCTAACACCTAATTTTCATGTGGCAAATGAAACTATGGAGGGATGGTGACTTGGCTGATCTTTTGCAATGGAACCAAACTCCCTCAAAATTATTACTCAAGTTTGCATTATTATTTGCATGCTTGTTGGAAGGATTCTTTTGTTAGCCACAAAAAACTGTTGATGACCAACTGAGGGTCACTCCTCATGCAGAAGGCCTGTGCATGTTCTTGCGCTACACTTAAGCATCACATGGTGGGTAGGGAGGAAAACAAATAAATAGTCTTGCAAAGTCTGCAAAGTCTGCAGATCCCCTGTTCTGGTACTGGTTCCTATGCAGGATTTTTGAATTAGTCAAAGGAAAAATCATTGATATGTATTAATATGGACCTAAAGGCTTGCTGTGACCAACTCAGTTCACTCATTTATGAACTAGAAGCAGTTCTTCAGATGGGTACCATGATAGAAAAGCACTTCAGAATTTCAAAGCATTCATGAAACTGACTTTATGGGCACCTATACCTGAGCAGCGAGGCTAGTCCAACACACTGTAATTACAGCAGTCAGAGCAGACTTGATTAATCAGGTAATTAATTACTATGCTTCAGCAGCCTACGGTGTCTCATGTATCAGTGTCATGGTGCTTAAAAATGGTGGCGGGGGGGGTCGGGGCTTTATCTAAAGCTCATTCAATGAGCCACTGTAATTAAAGCACCCACCCCCCATGCTCAAAGCACGTGTATAAACGCCCTGTTTATCTAATACTCTTTCACAGTCTCTGGAGTTGGAAATTCACCAAACGCTACAAAATTTTGACAGCAAGTTTCAGTTTGGGGCCTTAGGGTATGTAAACTATGCAAAACAAAATAAACTGCAAAACCAAGCTTCAACACTGTTCTTCCTGATCTGCCCTGCTGTATAAAAAATACTGTGGTGTGATATCTTACTCTGTATTAGTGCCCATCTTTAATATAATATGTTGACAGCCAAGCCTTGCCCTGTTTTCACCAGTTAAAAAGTGTATTTTTAGCAACTGGTGGTTCTCAAACTTTTTACTTTTGGGGCACTCCCTCTGTAACTTTTTTGAACTTGGCAACACCCTGGTTGAGAATCACTGTTTTGCTGCTTCACTTTACCTTGGTGATTCTCAGCCAGGGTTGTGCCACCATAACCAATGTAGTGAGGTGAAACTGCCCTGTGTGTTTTGTGTGAAGCTGGCAGAACTGCAGCAGGAGCACGCTCTACTGCTTCCTTTAGGTTTATCAGATAGCCTAATGCAAGAACACATGCTTCAGTCATAGCCCATCCTAGTCTGTATCTCCGCACAAGGTACACACATCACTTCCACCTGGTTGCAGCAGCAGTGCCGGTGGCAGCACTGGTGGCAGTGCCTACACCATAGCACCCCTAAAAGGCTGTTGTGGCACCCTGGATGAGAATAACTGATTAGGCAAGCACTTGAATGGTTTAATTCAGTATAATCCTGCCTTGAGGAATGGGTTAGACTAGATGACCTTATGAGGTCACTTCCAACCTTACTATTTTATGATTCTAAATCAGGCACTTAACATGCATTAGTTGCCAGGGTAGATGCCAGTGGAGAATCTTGTGTGTATTTTAATTTGTGTGCTAGAATGGCAATTGCCTTATTTTCACTAGGAGTTAAATATGCATTAGCTAGCTCATGTTAAATGTGCACCTTATTCATGGTTCTGTCTAATGTGGTAATAGTGCTGTGAGAAAATGAAGTCATCAAATGATTCAAGGGGAGGACCACTATCTGCATTAGAAGATAAAAACTCATTTCTTGAGCACACTGTATTGAAGAAGATCTTCAAAGAACCTACAAGTGTATATGCATTTTTTACACTAATTTGTTGATAAGGTAGTGTGAGCCCCAACTAATAAGGTAGTGAAATTCCAGGTTGTCACGGACTTATGTGCAATTTGGATAGGCCAAAATGTCAGTTTCTCACTCTACCTGCCTTGCTTACAAAATTAATGCACTTCATGGAGAAGTTGTAGGAGCCAGCTTAGCTCCTCCTCCATTACATTTCCAACAATAGCTGTTCTATTTATTGTGGTTACCCTTCTTGGGATTATGGTTTCAATGAGCACACACAATACTTCTTCTAAAGTGAAACTCCAGTATATTGGCATACCTGTAAAACCAGAGCTCATGTTACTTAAGCCAGAGCATATAAATAAGGGGTCCACCCCTAAGAAAAATATTCTTGGTAAAGCTTCCATAGAAATCCAGAAATTTCAGAGTAAGTGACTGGAGGGTATATTTAATGCTTCTTTTAATTCTGTTCTTTAATGATGAATGATGTAGAATTTGTAGGAAATGTATTACCAGAGCTTTCTTAAACTATTTGAATTTTGGAAATATTTGAATTATGCTTATTTATATTGCCTGGCTGCTAACATTTCTAGGGCACCTGTGCACTATTGCTCAACAAAAATCAAGGCCAATTCACCTTCTTAAAAGCATTTTTCCATATAATTCATAATGATTACATTTGTTCAAACAACTGGGTAATAAGTGAATGATAGGACGTAACAATTTGCTGTTTGGTTTTGTGTGTGTTTGTTTAAAGCTATGCTTGTCTTAGAAGATACATTCAAGATGTTAAATGATGAATTACGCTTTCAAGTGTTTTCATAGTCACTGAAGCACCATAAAGGAGATATTAAAAAAATCCTATAAATTATTAAGACTCAGTGGCCTCATCTACATGAAAAACTGACTGCACAGTCATTACTGCATAGTCATTTAGTACATGTATCTAGGCAATGTGTTGTATTGCAACATAAACAGTTTAAAATGTCCTTACAATATCTCTTTCTATTATTTTCTTTCTTTACAGGATAGACATTTGAACAATGCTATCTTTCCTTGCCATTTTCCATACTTTTGTCCTTGTGTCACCCATGGTAACCACCCGTCCAAATCCTGATCAGGTTGTCCAAAAATGGGATTCAAATGCATGTACACTGGTTGTATGTGCACCTGCTCAGAATGGATTACCGGGAAGAGATGGAAAAGATGGTCTTAAAGGAGAAAAGGGAGATAGAGGTATAGCTATATTTCTTTATTTACCATTTACCCACTCCTATTTTTCTTAAGAAACAAGCAACAGGGATGCATATTACAAATCGTGTAGTCCCATAGCACTTGTACCACAGTCACAAAAAAGTGTGGATATTCTTAAACTCTTATTTATAAATATTAAGCACTGGACAAAGCTAACAGTTTTGCTGAGAGACCAAATAAATCTATGTTATAATAGGGGATTGGATGCTCCACAATTAGGTACTAAATTCTAGAACCTTTCACCTCCAAGCTTGCAGTTCTAAATGGGCAGTGCCAGAAAGTGTCATGAGCTAAAATTGTGCTGTAATCTGTGATATGCTAGCTTGTCTGCACATGTTATGGTGATGAAGGTACTCAGCATCAATTATATTAATTGGCATGCATGGCAATATCAGCAAAAAGGTTAAAAAAAGAACAAGTATTTAAATGAAATGCTCCTATCCTCCTTAGAGATAGCCAGAACCAGGATGGATTGTGTACCTGCGTGGTCAAGACAGTGCATGAGGTGAGCTGGTAGTGAAGCTGGAAGTGATAAACTCTGAAAGAGATTATTAAGTCTCATTGCTTCAGGAAGGGGCAGAGATCGAAGAGACATTCAACCCACTTTAAAAAAGGATCTATACAGTGTTGTATTAGGGTTGTGTGAAATGGCTGTTTTATTTTGGTTTCAGATTTGGCTGTTTTGGAGGACAGTGATTTGTTTTGGTGTTTCAGATCACTGTTCTGTTTCCATTTGATCGAATCTGTTTCAGAGTTTCGGTGCTGATTTGAAGATTCGGATCAGCTGGGGAGAAACAGGTACAGCCAGGCAGCTACAGGTTTTCCTGTGGCCCCCTGGGCTGAACAGGGAAGTTCAGGAAAGCCTAAGGGCAAAAAAAGAGGTATACAAGCTGTGGAAACAGGGGGTAGCTACCAAGAAGGAGTATACATCCCTGGCTCGCACTTGCAGGGAATCAGTTAGGAAGGCCAAAGCAGGATTAGAACTTACACTGGAAATGTAAATTAAGGACAACAAAAAGTCCTTATTCAGGTATATAGGGAGCAAAAGGAAGGCAAAGGGTAGCACAGGACCCCTACAGGACAAAGTAGGGCAATTGGTGACAGAGAGGGGAGACAAAGCTGAGCTCTTCAGTGAGTTCTTTGCATCTGTATTCCTAGACACAGACCAAGACAAATCTCCCAATTGGATCATAGATAGAAACAGGAGGGACACCAGCCCACCAACTGTTAGCACAGATTGAGTGAAGGGGCACTTGGAGGGGATGGATATGTTCAAATCAGCGGGCCTGGATGAACTTCATCCAAAGGTGCTGAAGGAATTGGCCAGTGTCATAGCAGAGCCACTGGCACAGCTGTCCGAGCACTCATGGTGCTCCGGTCACATCCCAGAGGATTGGAAAAGGGCCAGTGTGGTTCCTATTCTCGAGAAGGGTAGGAGGGAGGAACCAGGAAACTGTAGGCCAGTTAGTCTCACCTCTATCCTGGGGAAAACTCTAGAAAAAACCATTAAGGATCACATTTGTGGGAGCCCAGCAGGGGAAATAATGCTGAAAGGAAGTCAGCATGGATTCATTGCAGATAGATCCTGCCTGACTAACCTTGTTTCTTTTTATGACCAGGTCACAAAATGCTTAGACTCAGGAGTCAAGGTAGATGTCATCTATCTAGACTTTAAGAGGGCCTTTGATACAGTATCTTATTCTGTTCTCATAAATAAACTGACAGGCTGTGATATAGATGATTACACAGTCAGGTGGGTGGCAAATTGGCTTAGGGGTTGCACCCAAGGAGTGGTGGTGGTTGGATCAATATCAACCTGGAAAAATGTGGGCAGTGGAGTCCCGCAAGGTTTGGTCCTTGGACCAGTGCTGCTCAATGTCTTCATCAGTGACTTGGATGAAGGCTTGGAGAGCACCCTGTCCAAGTTTGCAGATGATACCAAATTATGGGGCAAATTTAACACACTAGAGGGTAGGGAATGAATCCAGGCGGTTCTGGATAGGTTGGAAAAATGGGCAGAATAAATAGGATGCAGTTCAAGAAAGACAAGTGCAAAGTGCTGCACCTGGGGAAAAAAGAACCACCAACACACTTACAGGCTGGGGGAGAAGCACTTACAGTGTTTCTCAGCAGCACAGCAGTAGAAAGGGATCTTGGAGTCAACGGAACACAAGTCGTCAATGTGACAAAGCAATCAACAAGGCTAACTGCACTTTATCATGCATTAGCATGATCTGTCTGGTCTGGCTGCAGTTGGAGTATTGTATCCAGTTTTGGGCACTGCACTTCAAGAGGGATGCGGAGAATCTTGAGAGGGTCCAGAGGAGGGCCACTTGTATGGTCAGAAGCCTGAAGCAAAGGCCCTACAAGGAGAGACTGAGGGATCTAGATCTCTTCAGCCTCCACAAGAGAAGGCTGAGAGGTAATATTGTGGCTGCCTATGTATTCATGAGGGGAGGGCAGCAGGGAATCGTAGATGCTTTACTAGAGCACCCCCTGGAGTAACTAGGAACAATGGCCACAAATTGACAGAGAGCGGATTTAGGTTGAACATTAGAAAGAATTTCTTCACAGTAAGAGTTTCCAGAATCTGGAATGGGCTTCCAAGAGAGGTGGTGCTCTCCTCTACCCTAGGGGTCTTTAAGAGGAGAGTGAACAAGTGCCTAGCTAGGCTTGTCTGACCCCAGCGCTCTTTCCTGCCTAGGGCAGGGGGTTGGACCTGATGACCTACTGAGGTCCCGTCCTACCCTAACATCTATGAATCTATGAAACCTCTGGCTGTGCCTGGCTCTGCACTGGTGGGGGGAGCTGCAGGAGAAGCCGCAGTGGCTGCCCTGTCTGGCCCCATCCCCTGCCCAGTCCCAGCCTCCCAGCACTTTAAAAAAAAAAAAAAGCTCTGCACTTGTTGCAGCAGCAGTATTTGGGACCTGTGAGGGATTGTGGTAGAGTGCCCCCCATGCAGCGCAGGGGGGAACAGCAGGGATCATCCCTCCTCTTGTCACCCACACAACAGCTGCTCCACAGTGTTGGTGCAGCGTGACTCAGCAGGGTGCCGCACACTGTCTAAGAGCTGGGGCAGCTCTAGCAGTCAGCTCAAGTCTGACACCGCCGAGCCCCAGTGCCCGCAGCTCCCAGGCAGCATGCAGTGTCCTGCCAAGCTGTGCTGCACTTGCACCATGGGGCAGCTGCCACGCAGGTGCCATGCAGAGGAGTGATACCCACTGCCCCTCTCTGCCACACACTGTGCAGGGGGGTTCTACCATGAGCCCTCAGAGGCCCTGATTGCCGTTGTTGCAACCAGTGAGTGTGGGGCTTTTCTTTTTCTTTTCTAAATCTCTGCACTCACCGGATGACAGAGCCCCCTCAGTCATCAGGGAGTAGCAGGGATCCCCCCCCAACTTGGCACCCGCATGGCACCTATCACATTGTGCGAGTGCAGCCTGGCTTGGAAGGGTGCAACACGCTGTCTGGGATCTGGGACCACTGGGTCTGGGTGGTGTTGGGCTCTGGCTGCCAGGTGGAGATACCCCAGGTCCCAGACAGCACATGGCGCCCTTCTGAGCTGTGCTGCACCCATGCAATGCAACAGCTGCTGCTCAGATGCCAAGTGGGGGTGCAATCCCACCTGCTCCCACTGAACTGCACTGTACATGAGGGCTCTGCCACAAGCCCTCATAGGCTCCAATCACCACTGCTGCAGCCAGTGAGTGCAGTGCTTTTTTTTTTTTTTAAGTGCCAGGAGGCTGGGGCCAGGCAGGGCAACCATGGGGGTTCTTCCACAGCTCCTCTGGCTGTACCTGCCTCTGCCCTGGTGGGGGGAGCAGTGGGAGAAGCCTCCATGGCTGCCCTCCCCCGCCCAGCCTCAGGCTCTTTAAAAGGAGGGCTGCGGGGGTGTTAAACTATTCCCGCTGGGGGCATTCCCAAAACATTCCAAAACTTTTCCTAAATGTTTTGGATGGTTTCATTGCATTTCAGAGATGTTTGGGAGCTTTCCCTTTCATTTTGGATTTGGTGTTTCAGGCACCAAAATGGGCCAAAACACCTCTGAAATGAAACGGCTTCCAAAATTTTGCATAGTCCTAATAATTTTACTGTAATAGTAATTTACCTGAATGTCACCTGAAGTCCCAACTGAGATCTCAAAATCATTGTAGCTCACATTGTGCATGAAAAATGGGAAAAGGTAGTTTTTGCTCTGCTTAGACAAGAAAAAAGGTACATGTATATATATGGAAAATGGAGGGAAATGAGATCAAGAAACAGTTTTATAGGTCCCATTTAAGTCCTTAAATAAGCAAGTATATTTACAAAACAGTGTAGTGTATTAAATATATAGGTTTTTTGAAAATCTAGTAACAGGTATTAGAAGGGAAATGGTTAAACATTTAATTCTTTTGAAGCTCTGTACTTACTAAGAAGCACTTCAGGAACTCCAAGAAACTGACCCAAACAGGGCAACTCAAATCGAAACCAGATTTCAGAACTGAAATTTGTTTTTGCCTTTAGGGTTTCAGCTACAACAGAAAAATCAAGTTTGAAGCCTGGATTTGGATCAGGACCTGAACTTCTCCAATGTTTATGATGTTCTGACTTGTGCCCCACGCTGATGCTGAAAGAAATCACTGTATCTTGCAACACCTAACAATCACATTTTTCACTTGTTTTATTATTGTCTCTTCCATGTCACTCAATCAATCCATTGGATTGAAAGGACTAAATGGTCTTCCAGGAAAGGCTGGGTCCCCTGGACCAAAAGGTGATCAAGGCCCAGCGGGTGAACGGGGACCAAAAGCAGAGTGTTGCGTCACTGGTAAGCAGTATGTACCTTTTCAAAGAGTTAAAAAAGGAAGGTATGGAATGCAGAAACTTAATAGCATTGGCCAAATGCTTTCAATGCATTGACTTGTTATTTATTCTAGGTGAGTTTTGTTGCTTCTGTTGAATGGTGAGCCATGAATAACTGTAATCTTTGCAGTTAATTTAGTTTTACTCATGGTAGCGAAAGAAAGGCTGCAAAACCTACCCAAGAAATTTGGGTTGTCTTGTGTCTTGTGGGAAACATAAGGTAAGTCTGTGACAGCAATGCAGACATACCTACAGACACAACAGTTAAGGGCGAATAATAGGTGTGTTACTGGAAGAAAAAAAGGCTTTCCAAGCTTTACCTTCAGCTGCACAAATGACTTTCACTCTTGTTCAAGCTTAGATTGAGGTTTGTAAGCACTTTTACTCTTGCACACAATGCTGTGTTGAAGTGGGTTCATGGTGAATACTAATATTTTGCATAACTCTGCAAAGCTTCATTAACTAACTTTGATCATATTTCAAGACATTTATTTTCCCACTCATGTTGTCACTGAAGCTGGGTCATTTATGAAACCCAGTTCAAGCCTGGAAAGGGAAATTAGAATACTGAAGAAGTTCTCTGTTCCCCCACACCTGCTTCATTCTGACAGCCCTATCTTTTGCTGAAGTAACTGTTGCCTTTGGTTATAGTCAGATCATTTAGCCTGGAGCTACCTTGATTCAGATATGTTTATAATTTCATACAAGCTAAATATAACCATGATGTATGATCAGACTATAAATGCATTGAGAAAGTTCTCTGGGGGTGGGAGGGAAGGGGTGATTTTGCATAAGTGATACTTGATTTCCCCAGAAGATATAATTATTGGACCTAATTCTCTTTTCATGTTGACATAAATCAGGAATAATTTGAGTCAATAGAGTTACACTTGATATAACTGATATAAATTAACAGAACTGGACCTGTTTTCTGTTTATGAACTTCTAAATGAACTATAGTTAAAACAACCAGCTCTTCTGTTAACACCATTCAGCATCTCTCATGCAAGCTAAAATTGTATTAATTAAAAAGGAGTACCATAAGAACCAATTATTTTTCTAACTATAGGTTTTATGACTGAAGCAAAGAACTAGAATTGAAATGAACAGGTAGTTTTTCTTTTAGTATTAGAGTGGTGTTGCAAGTTTGACTTAACACTTACTCAGTGCAGTTAAAACATAAGCCGACACACACTTAGGCAGTTCAGTATGTGTTAAGTGCCCACATGGCATTACAAAGTTGTTCTGTTTCAGGTGAGGACTAACATGTGCTATCTTTAATACACCACTGCATTCCAATGCTTTACAACTGTTGCAAGCAAACGTGTAACAAGACCCTTAGTGAATCTGTGCCCTCCGTGCCACAGTTTTATATATAGTAAATGTTCTTCAGAAATTTAGACATTAAAAACAATGTGTTTTATTACTAGTTTTGCAGATATCTTTTTTAAGGTCATGCTGTTAGAAATGTTTTCTATATTTTGGTGTGTCAAAATAAGAATAATTATTTCTCATTCAGAAGTCAAGCATCTCCAAAATCAAATTAGAAATCTACAGGGACAGCTGAAATCATTGCAAGATATTATCAATAAAAAGCATAAAGGTAAGACAGCAAAAGGTCATTAGTTCCAGCCAGGGAAAAATGAATGTACATGGGGAAGCTTGGATGCAGTTCTGGATCCCAATTTCTTCAAAATTCAAAGGAGTTCGTATAATTTGTCACAAGATAATGTCATATATTAGAAGAATCTCACCCAAGTTCTATTTATACAGAAATAATGTTACTGTGTGTGTTAATTATGCTCATTGAACCCCCCCACCTGAAAAAAGCAAGAGACAGCCATTCTGTATAAATGGCCAGATTTTGCTTCCAAAACTCCCATTTATTTCACCAGAACAAGGAAATGCCATCATGTAAAGTTGATGGATTTTATGGCCACATGTGCCCCTATGATGTATCCATCACAGGATATAATTATAATGCTATCTAACACAGAAAAAAACCACGGTGCCTGAAGTAAAAAAACCTTCCTTTCCTGATGATTTCCTTTATTTTTTGCTGAAATAACAAAAGTATTTGGTTATTCAAAGCCTAAGCTTTATTCATAGATTTCATAGACATTAGGGCTGGAAGGGACCTCACAAAATCATTGGGTCCAAAGGGCAGGAAGTCAGCAACGGTCAAATGATCCCAGCAAGATATTCAAGTGTTTTTTGAAAGTATCTAGAATAGATGCTTGCACCACCTCTTGCGGGAGTCTATTCTAGGACCTGGGAACTCAGATGTTAAAGATGTTTTTCCTTATGTCCAGCCTAAAATGGTCTTCCAGGAGTTTGTGACCATTAGACCTTGTCTTCCTATGGGGTGTCCTGGTGAACAGATGTTCTCCCAGTTCCTGGTGCACAGCCCTTATGTACATATAGGCTGCCACAAGTCACCCAGGAACCTGCACTTTTCTAGGCTGAACTGTCACATGTCTCTCAGCCTCTCTTCATAAGGCCAGCCCTCTTGTCCTCTAATCATTCATGCGGCTCTCCTCTGGACTTTTTCAAGCTTCTCCACATCCTTTCTGAATTGTGGAGTGCAGAACTGGACACATTATTGCAGCTGTGGTCTCACCAAGGCTGAGGAAAATGGGGGGATGACTTCCTTGAGTCTTGCTTGAGATGCATCGGTAGATTCAAGCCAGTTTTGTTTGCTTTACCGGCTGCAGCATCACAACAGTGGCTCATGTTCATCTTGTGGTTAATCATGACCCCCAAGTCTCTTTTGGTTGTGGTGCTAGTGAGTGTAGCACTGCCAAGCCTATAAGTGTGGTGTGCTTTTTTTCTCCTGAGGTGGAGTATCTTGCATTTCTCAGTGTTGAATGCCATCAGGTTTTGATCCACCCACCTTGTCAGACTGTCGAGGTCAGCCTGGATTGCCAGCCTAGGGTGACTGCACTTCCCCATAGTTTGGTGTCATCAGGAAACTTGGTCAGTCTGCTTCTAACACCAGAGTCCAGATCATTTATAAACACACTGAAGAGTACAGGTCCGAGAATGGAGACCTGCGGGATGCCACTGGTCACCATGTGCCATGTTGATTCGGTTCCATCAACTATCGTTTTCTGGGTCTGTCTATGGAGCCAGTTCCCCAGCCATCAGCTCATGAAATTGTCAAAGCCATAATTCCCCAATTTTTCCATAAGGATATCATGGGACACCAAGTCAAAGGTTTTCTTGAAGTCCAAAAATATGATATTTGCCTCTTCTCCTATGTCTAGGTGATGTGTCACCTGGTCATAGAAGGAAATGAGATTGGTCAGACAAGATCTACCTGCAATGAAGCCATGTTTGCTATCTCTCTGAAAGTTACCGTCTATAAGCCTATTGATAATTGTTTCTTTGATGATTTTGTCCAAGATCTTTTCAGGCATTGAGGTAAAACTGATTGGCCTGTAGTTCCCTGGATCTTTCTTCCTCCCTTTCTTGAAGATAGGCACCAAATTGGCCATCTTCTAATATTTTTTCTGAGTTTATAGAGGTTTCCAAAGACCTTTCTGCGTCTGCTCCAGCTTTAATGGCACCTGTCCTATTTCAACTCCTGGGTTAATGTGTGCAGATTTCACCTGGAGTGAATAACCAAAACTGACTCTTCATCTTGCTAGAGAGTTCTGGGACCTGCCACCCCATTCCTCTAGGATGATAGATTAACATGGGGAAAAAACCCTTAACTTGGCTTTACTATATTTCTGTATTCTAGTTGAAGATTTCATAAATGGGAGTCAAATCAGTGAAAAATTATTTGCTGCCAATGGTTCTGCTGGTGACTATAAAACTTCAAAAGCCACATGCTCTCAAGCTGGAGGTCATCTTGCCTCTCCAAGGACTTCATCTGAGAATGGTGCCATACAACGGATAATACAGCGTTATAACAAAGCAGCATACCTTGATATAAATGACATGGAAACAGAAGGCATATTTAAGTATCAAAGCATGGAAGTAATAGGATATGCAAACTGGGCTCCTGGAGAACCAAATGATACCGGAGGAGGAGAAGATTGTGTAGAAATGTATACAGATGGTAGATGGAATGACCGATCATGTGAAGAAGAACGGTTAATAATTTGTGAATTCTAGTTTTAATCTCTCTGCTTGCCTATACACATGCTCCGGGGTCATGATGGTGGGGCGGCATTTTAATTAGAGTGGCTATTGGGAGCCACTCTAATTAAAAAGCCTGTAGCGTCTCAGGTATTCAGTGTCCTGCATTTCAAAATGGTGGAGGGGACACTTTAACTAAAACTCAAGCTTTAGTTAAAGTGACCTCACTGCCATTTTGAAATGCAGGATGCTGAATACACGAGATGCTGCAGCATGCTGGAAACATTCTGATTAGAACACTCCAGCAGACTTGATTAATGGAGTCTGCTCCAATGTGTTCTAATCACAGCACATTGGAGCATCTGTAAAAGTGCCATCTGTCCTTATTCTTTTTTCTCAGAACCAGTTGCAAAAAACCATTCAGTTTTGTTATAATATTGATGTCCAATAATCTTTCATTCTGAATACTGTGATGTAATCAAGGATATATGCTGTCTCTCTGCAAAATTCCTACTGTAGCTGAGGAACTGTTTTTCAATAAAGTAATCATGCAGTTTTGATTCAGATATTGTGTTGAGCTGCTACAGGTTCTATGAGAACTGATTCATATACAGATTTCCCTTAATTCCTGTCTAAAATCATTTAGAGGGCTAGAATTTTTGTTTCCAAATTGGTTATCAGATTGTTGTTGTTGATAGTGATAGAATTCTAGAAGCATTTGAGTGATATTTTAGCAAATAGCTGTAACAGGGAGTCTATGGCAGGGAAGGAAAAACAGTAGCAAAAAGCTCTTGGGCAGGCAAATAAGGGCTAGCTACAAAGGGATAAACAGCCAGAGGCCAGAAGCTGAAAGTGCCTATTGCTGTGCTAGTTGTACAGCAATAGCACAATAGGACAGAGTATCTCTAGAGCAGCAGAGGCACTGCTATAGTAACTATGGTATCAAGAACTCGCTACCATTAGAGAGAAGAAAATGTTTTGGGGTTAACAAGTTGCCTGACTGGAAGTAAGTAGGGCTTGAGTGGCATATAAGCCAGGGCCTGAACCAGGGCAGTGAGACTAGTCCTGTTGCTGGTTGGCTTAAAGATCCTGCCAACTTTAAGAACAACCTGAAGTTGAGGGCCAGTTGGGGACTAAGACCCAGAATGTGGAGATTTTGGTAGACTGTGTTATAGCCAGAGTGGTTACATACTCTTTGAGTTTGACTAGTGATTTGGTTTTGGGACTATTGGGTCCCAGTTGAGCCCTGAACAGGGTACAATCAGGACTAAAGAATCCTGTGCCCAAAAGGGACAAAGATCAGGACTAGGAGCCCAGCAAGAGAGTGAAAGTAAGACTCCTTTCCAAAACAACTCAGAACATCAAGGCATGGCAAATGGGAGTGAAGGGAGAGACCTAGAGAGAAGAATGGGGCAGGAGTTTTGGGGTCACCAGGGAGTGTCACAGCTACCCCTGTGGCTTGGTCCTGCTAGACACTTGAATTTGGGCTAAATGTGAATGTACATGCTATTAATACTAATTATTCAGCATGCAGAAGCATCAGACACTTTACACACAAAAGCTCTGCCCCAAGAATCATAATATTTAAATAGAAACAAGACAGAAGAAGAAGAAAGTGAAGGAAAAGGTAAGGAAGCAGTAGAGGAGAAGCCTGCAAATACAAGATAATAGATTGCTTGGTTTAGTTCAACATTTGCTTTCATTTATTTTTTATTACACTTTATGCCAATCTTATAGTTCTAGAAGAAATCTCTGATTTGCAGAGGAACTCCCTTTGGTGGTGAGACAACTGCTTATGAAGGGATCAGAAAGATGTCCCATATGCTTAATATGAATAACACTTGAAATAAAATGGAGCCAAGAATATCTCACCCATGATATTTAGTTAAAATTATTTTTTATCCATAGCAGTATACATAGGTTTCCAGAAAACTTCCTCAGCTTATATATGCATCTCTTCTCACTAAGGCCCCTGACATAAGAACATAAGAGTTGCCATTTACTGGGTCAGACCATAAGTACATCTTACCTAGTATTCTGTGTCTCACAGAGGCAGAGTGGATGCTAACTGCATATAACCACTGTTCCTCTCTGACATGCAGCCTCCATTTTACAGCTATTGTGCAATTAACTGGTTAATTGCACAATAAATTCAGACATCGGATACATGCAATCTAATTATGACACTATAAAAATGGCCAATGAGCCATAAATTTGCCAGTTGAAAAATGTACAACGTATTTATAGCTATTTTCTATCAAGCTTTAATTGGAATGTGTGGCATGTCACACACAGGGTGATAGTGTTTGGCTAGGTCCTCCAGTATCCCAGACTAGACTCCTTTCTCGCCCTGCCCCACCTTCTTGCAAAGGGACTCTTTAACTGATGCTTAATTCTGCTGCCCCAGGCCAAAGTAGCAGATGTCGTGACTCACTGCCTTTCTCTTTTTTCAAGCATGCTTCAAGGCTGCTCTTTAAGGGCATTTGTACTTGACACGGTTTTTGATCCTTGTTAATTTACCACACCTGAAAAATTTTAGCCCGGGTTATTGTGGTGCGGCACATTTGTGTTTGCATGCCACATTCTTTAGACAGATTTATGTCGCGTGTGTCATTTCCCACAGATTCCAGAAGTGGGAAGCAAAATACCAATCTACCCCCAGTAATGTCTTTCCTAATGAATTACAGTAGGCCTCCACAGTCCCATCCCCCTGCCTCCTGCCCCCTACCCTGCCGGGAGTCTCCTACTAATTTCCTCCCTCAGTTACACTCCTAAGGCAGACTTCAGGTTGTTCACTCACCCCCCATCTGCCTGCCTGCTGCCAGCCAGCCCGTGAGAGGTATACTTAACCCTTCCAGTCCACCTCCCCCACCTGCCCTGCTCGTCCTCCCCTCCACCCCCCATCCGCTAAACTGCACACCTCTTCAGACAGACACAGACATTTATGTTGTAAATTGTAAAAGAATTTATTGTAATCAAAAGTAAGAACAAGCACTGGTAGTTGCTGTCAGCAATATGTGGTGCCAGACAATCCTGCACAAGGGCTGCCCAACCAGCTTCTCTTTGTGCATATCTTCTTGGTCCCTCTGCTTCTGACCAGCCATGTCTCTGTCTGGCCATTACCTGTTGCGCTTCTTCAGCCCACGCCTGGCTTAAAACCTCTCTGCAGGTCTCAGAGATGTTGTGCAGCATGCAGGCTGCTACTACAAAGGCTGTGATATTTTTTGGCTCCAGCTTGCACTGGCACATAAGCACCCTCTATCATCCTATCAGTCAGCCAAACATATATTCAACAGCCATCCTGCAACCACTCAGACGGTTATTGAAAATCAGCTTCTATGGGTCCATAACATTCCCTCCATAAGGCTTCATGAGCCAGGGCTTTAGGGGGTAGGCAGCGTCCGCTAATATAACTGGGGGAATGGCAACACCACAGATCACTGTCTTGTGGACTCCAGGTCCATAATGTCCTTTCTCCATGAGGCCAGGAAGTGGAGAGTTTCTGAACACTCATGCATCATATGCGCTGCCAGCCTACCCTGTAAAAACGTTCATGAACCGGCTCCAGTGATCCACCACAGCTTTGCTCACGGAGGCAAATCCCTTCCTGTTTGTGAAAGACCCCCCTCTCCCCAAAGGGCACAGCACTGGGATGTGAATGCTGTCTAAAGCCCCCATGCAGTTAGGGGGCCATCTATGGCCATCATTGAAGCCATCTATGACTTCCTGTGGATTCCCCAGACAGATAAATTTGTTTGCAGTGATGTCCTGCAGCAGCTGGCATACCTCAAGATTTGCCACCCCAGCTCTGCAGGGGGCCACACCGAACTGGTTTGCAATGTAGTGGATGCTGGACTGAGTGACTAGTTTCATGATGGCAATTGCCACTGTCTTGTCCGGTGGGATGGCCTGATGCATGTTAGTGTCCTGCCTCACAATCTGGGGCCCCAGCATTGAGATGATATGATAAAACATCTCCCTGGTCATTCAGAACATTTCCAGCCACTGCTGGTCATTCGAAGTGGTCAGCACAATTCACTTCCACCAGTCTGAGCTGCTCTCATTGGCTCAGACCATGTGGATGCTGCTCCTGAGTTTTCTCAACACAGCCCAGTCATCTTCCACTACTTGGGATGCCTCTTGGTTTTCCCACTCCTCCGTACATCTCTGTTTTCTTTTTTTGTAATCTTGTATACAGGCTAATGCTGAATACCCTATCATCCTTATCCCGTGTTGTAGCATGTCTTGTATTACTCTCAAGGCCAAGTTCTATCAGCAGCACTGTCACCACCTCTTCCTCCTCCTCCTGCTCACCCACATCCTCCAGATTCTCCATGTCAGAGGAGTATTCACTGTGTTGTTCTCCATTCTCCACTTCCCATTCCTCACACATTTCATCCTGATCTCCATTTGGCCCCTCTCCTTCATCAGCGGGGGATGAGAGGGAGGGTTGAGCTCTATATAGCTGCATTAAATAGGTGACCACTGTTTTTTCAACAAGTAATCCCGGGGCACTGGGCATTTGCACAGCTTTTGTTTGGTTCTGAGAAAAGAAGCAGCAGATGATCTGATGCATCAAATCTTTATTCAAGACAATTTGTAATCAAGAAGATTGCAAACATATGACTTTACCATAGTGCTGTCCTGTTAATGTAGGACCAGCCAGCTGAATACTGTTCCAAGGTCAGTGAAAACAGACTGTGCTTCTGTAATAAAATTATTTTATTCAGCAATAACAAAACAGCCTCCATTGTGGGACTAACTAGGGGAAGACAAGCCAAAACACAAGCAGGCAGGCAGGATTAATTTTTGCAACATTCCAGGTCATTGAGCAGCCATCTTAAATGGCCTTATGTACCCCATGCTCAAGCTGATCAACAAGTCTTTTGTTGGTGAGTGGGGTGCTTCATCCACCTTTGGGTGTTGTGAGTCACAGGTGATGATTTCACAATCTTTGGAATTTTCACAACATGTTTATAAAGCCAACCTCCAAATTTTGCCAGGGACCTGTTGTGAATCCGAATCACTTGCTGTTGACCACAAACTGCTTCGCCAGGTCTCAGAAAGCCAAGGCCAGCAGTATGGAGGTGGTGGAGCAGGAGGCTGATACCTCCAGTGCCTGG